GGTGCAGGATAATACGCAGCTCAAGGATCATTTAATGATCATGTAAGAATCATATTTTTAAAACTGTGCTAATCCAATATTATCATTGACTTCAAATACACAGAGCACCAGGAGATGAGGATTTAAAGTTTTATTCAGGACAATTGCATATGAAATTTTGCTACTTTGGGCTTGGATAGCACTTTCTGACTGAAGTTGGTGAATCTTACAGGCCCACGTGACTTAGATACAACAGTCCTGACCCTTATTTTACAGGGAGGGAACTAAGGCAGGGAGAGGTTAGACATCACAGTAAGTCCTGGGTTCAACTCAGTTTTGGTAAACGTTGGATAACAGTCACTCTATACGTTATTGCATGATCTTTCAATTAATAATCAGAAGTTGATTCCACTGTTTCTGAAATCAATAGCACCAACACCTACAGCTGCAGTGAATTTAAGAGAAATAGAAGCAATCCCTTTCATGTGCTTTAGCGCTGTTAATTGCACTGTTTGGCAAACAAGAATAAGAATACTCCAAAGGAACATTTCTTGGACAAAGCTGATAAAGTTTACTGTTTAAGTGACAAGGGATGTACACAAATTTTAACAGTCACTAGTTGTCCAGGAGAAGCAAATTTGTATTCAAAGCAAACGATGTAAAAACACAACAGAAAGTGCATAGACCCCACCTTCAGACAACTCAGATATATACACCTAAATTCAATCCAAATCATGGAACTGTTTAAATATAAGATTAAATTTTTAAGCCTGTGGTTCAATCTCAATGGCCTAATTGGAAATTAACATAAGCATACGCTGAATATTCTTCAGAAAAATTACAGTCTTCCAACTCTATTTTAAATACTTAATTCTTCTAATGTTTGGTTTACAGTATACTTAAAATAAAATTAAACATATGGGTAAAGCAGTCGTAATGGTATTTAGTAAAAAGAGCAGCTCTCATATATATTAGTTACTTTTAAAAAAATGCAAATTTTGACCTAGATGAAAACACTATCAAACTTGCAGCTCTAGAAATGAAGTTCAGAAAAAATATTCAAAAACATGAGAACAATAATTTTTCTTTAACACATTGAGACATGTTTTATTTTTTATCAGGCCAATTACACAACTATTAAAAATATAGTTTCGAATAAATCTTCAAATATTAATTTTTAATATGAAATGATAAAAACACAGCAATATTAAGATAACTGATAGCATAAACATTTTATCATTTTTATGTGTACTTATTAGTACTGTAATATAGATTTTTAAATAATCTGCATTTACCTTTTTCAAGTTAACTGGATATAATTTTAGTCATATTCATGCATTTTTTAAAAACGCTAAAATAATAATAAAGATTTAAAATATAAAAATAATAAACCCAGAACCCTAAACTGATAGGTAGACAGTTTCGTAGCTGTTCCTGTGCCTTTAACAGAACTGCACAAACCTATGATCTAGCCATTAGTTGGAATGACCATATGGAAAGCATATGGCTTTTTCTGGAGTTTCAAGCTTGAACCTGAAAAAATTGATTTATTTTCTGAATAGGTCTACTAAATGTGTAATTGAAAACAATACAGCTCAGATCTTGAACTTATGGTGCACATGTAAAGCCAAATTCAGGTTCAACAAAATCTTTTTATTTCACTAGGACTTCAGGGAAAGACAACAGCAAACTGATATATTGCTGTGGACAACTGAATGAGTTCTACTAATTAAAGAATCTCCTGAACATAAAAAAACACTACCTACTTAATTCTGATTTTTTGATTTGCTATACATTGAAAGAATACTAATGAAATGAACTTGCATTTTACTTAACAAAGAGGATATGACTAATCAGCAAATTTCACAGAGACCAGACATTTGTTTAAAATAATTTATGGCTACCCCACTATTAGAAGATTTTATAGAACATGGACACATATTGCATCGATCCTATCACCAAGCTGTGTATTCATATCATAGGACTTTTTAACATTAGCATGATAACCACAAACAAGCCTCATATAAAATTTTCTGGGCCTCCATTACAAAAGAAAGAGAATGCACTTTAAAATATTTGCCTCTTTTTCTAGTACAGTACTTCAGATGCATAGAACCTGAGTCTTCATTAAAGTTCAGAGTAAATTCTATTTTAAAAGTGCCCCAATTTTGGTCAGACAGTTGAAACTGTAAAGACTATATTCATGATCCACTGATCCACAGAAGAATTCAGAGCACTACAGGAATCTAACATATGGAAAAATAATGATATAAAGGGTATAAAAAATGATGACTAAAAAAAATGTTAGAGCTGGTTTGTCACAGAATATATGCTCTACCGGTTTATATTTCTTCATTGAAATACTTTTCACTTTCCTCAAAAATTTGACATCCTTAGCAATGGACAGAGAAATTTTATGAGCAAGTAAGAAAGACAGCAAAAGATAACTGATTGAAAGGGAGAGAAAGGGGGAATTGAGCAAAGTGCATATTTACTGAGAACTTACTCTTGACAACACCATATTTCTGAGCTATTAGTGCTGCCTGCAGGCTCTTCCCACTGCCTGGGGGTCCACAAAAGAGAATCCGTGGTGTAAAGGGGGCGGCTGATCGGTGCCGTGTTTGGACATAGGTAAGAACTAGAACATGAGAGAAAGGTGAGAAATACAGTTTATACCCTATTTCTTTTTTTTCTTTTTCTTTTTTTTTTTAATAATATAGACATTGATTAACTTCTCTCTCTTTTTTAAAAAGTCATTTTGATCATCATTTATTATTATCATCATCTGATACTCCAACCAAAATCAGGACTCTGAGAAAACTGTCATGTCAGCAACTTACAGAAAGGTACTTCAGAAATCTTATTATCATTACACTCCTATACTTTCTTTCATCAGTAGATGTCAAACCATTTTGAAGAGCAGATTCAATTAATAATTGCTCTTTTACCGTGTTGTTTTTAGCGGAAGTAATTTTTGCTTGATAGGTACAATTTTACCCTGCAAAGTATAGAGGGATATAATTACATTTAATACTTTCTGCAGTTTCTGAACCAATATTTAAGTGTAAAAACTCGGGATGTTAAATTAATACGACATTTATCTAGCTCTGTGTGATTAACAGACTCCTAATTACAATATTACAGACTTGTAGCATACGATGTCACGACACAATACGGCATTGACAACCCATAACTGAGTATGATTTTAATCTTTTGTCCATCATTTTTGCAAAACATGTAAAGGCTATTTGAGATTCTCTGTCTGATTCCACTCTATTGGCTGGACATTTTTCTTCTACATTTTGTATTGCTTACAAAATATTACATTCAGGTCAATCTACAGATTATAAGAGTTTTAAAAAGACCACAGGACACGTGACACATCATCAACATTGCTGTATTACAGACATCTGAACTTTGTTACAATCTCAAGAGAACCTGATAGATCACCAAGAAGCTAAAAAGATGACACAGCTTGGCAGTGAGGACAAATTGGGATCATATTTGGACATTGCCAGACTCTGACTTCCCGTGCTCCTTTTATGGCTAACAATAGTAGTGAAGAGAGCAGCTCAAGCTTCAGCACAAGCTATGGAAGCTTTCCAGGGTTCATAGATTCAACTGCCAGGGCTGAAGTTTATGCCACCGCATCCTGACTGTCATTGTTACCCATCATTTAAGTAGCATGGGCACACCTACACAGGCTTTGATCCTCTGTAATTGCAATGGATTCAATGAAGCATTAGCTCAGACATCTTCAGTTCAAATAAGAGATTCTCCAGACTAAAGAGTCTTTGTAATAAAATGGTATTTTAGTTGAACAAATAGGACAGGCTTAGACATTAATGTTTGTATGAATCATAAGCCCATACTAGAAAAACCACAAAAGAATTGATGGAAAACTTCATAAGGATCAGTATCTTAATTACCATTGTTAACACACTGCTGTATACTAACTAACATTTTTTCTGAGGACCCTCTGCTAGATATTTTGGTATCATTATAAAATCTTTTGTAATAAAGAAGCATAATAATACTAATACTGAGGAGAGATCTCCTCTTTCTTTTTTAACTCTAACTGTAGCAATAAAAACACTTAACAAAAAAACCTGGAAAATTATAACAGAAAATAGTGTGCTTGCTGCATAACTTCCTAAAAACCAAGTATCAGCTACCCAAGGAGTGCTCTAGTTATTCAGAATATTTTCCATAACCCAGTGTATTGAAAAGCGCAAACATTACAGGCAAAGCACCCTGCTTACAAATGATGCTTAATTTGCAGTAAATAACCAAGTTAATTAGGAGTAATGATCCCCTAGACAGTCTCCACATCTAATTATTCTTTGAAAAAAAAAAAAAAAATCTGGCTGCTTGATGCACTGCAGAAAAAAGATCTAGAGAGGATTTTTTCATTCCAGTTTTCAATTTATCTCACTACATTATTAATTAATAATAATTAATATTCAGGCACACATTTTTATTTACAATTCAAGGCATGAATTCTTTATGAATGATGATATGAACTTTTAAATTTAATTAAGTAATTTAGAGGTAATTAATGTGTAAATTCAGAATATAAACTTCCTACTTGTTTATCTTAAAAGTGCAGCACTTGTTATTAAAAAAAAAAGACCTTTTTGAGATGCAAAATTTCGGGGATATAACAGATCATCTACAGACTGACAGCTACAAAGTACATTATCAGTTGGTCTTCCTGGCAGTTTCCTTATTCTCTTATTGAAGAATCAACATTAGAAGTCAGATTGCATTACAGTCAAGCAAAGGCAAACAAGAATTGTTGAACAGAAAAGCTACCAGCACAAACAGCTTTTAAATAATGAAATGTTACCGGCTTTGAACTACTCCTACTTCTTGTTATCAGACTTGTGGAAGGTACCAGCCCTTTGGGAGATTAACAATCGAGCCACAACGCAGCCTTTTAGAGGAGACTCTCACAGAAATAACCGCGACATTCGCTCTACTGAGTCAGCTGTTCCTTGGCAGGACTGTGGAACCCAGACTTCACAGTCACCTGCACTTACTCTGGTCCTGTAAAACCATTACCAGGAACAGCCCAGACTCCGCACTGGAGAGAACACAACTCAGCTGGGAGCCATCTGTTTTGACTAATCCTAATCCTGCAAACTGTCTCTAACAGCTAGGAACTACCTTTCAAATAAAAGTTTATCAACTTTCAGATTTGCCATAAAGTTACATATTTACCCTGTGAGAGAACATCCACAGAAGGCTGGTCTGCGTTGATCGATTTCAAAACTTTTTGGTAGCTCTGGAAAACGCCAGGGAAGTTTCTGTGGTATTCCAGCAGTTTCTTTGACATCTCCAGTTCAGACAGATCTTCTGGTTTCACCAAACGTTGCTGTACCAACAGATCACTTGGCCAGTCAAAGGTTGTATGGTACACCTCTAGAAGTTAAGACACTCATTAGGAAGATGATTTGATAGATCTTGCTCAGGTCCAAAAGGTTTCCTAAATAAAATTCTCTTTAAGCTTTATTTTGGTGGCACAAGCAATAATCTGTGCACTTCCCTTGTTACTTGTACTGACAGCTGACTATTACTTTGCAGATGCACAGATAGGAAATGGCCAAAGTAATTGCCCACCCAGGTAGCCAAGACAGCACGATGAATAAGAACCAGGAACTGGGGATAGCTCTCCAAATAAAAGTCATTTCTTTAGTTAAGAACATCCCTTTTAATTCCACTCCTAAAACATCCAGCGTGATTTTTTTTATTGAGCAATGTCAGGATTTTATTTTGTGATGGATGATTGATAATGATACCCAACAGACAATACAATGCTGAGCTCATTTGACAATGGAAGATTCCTAAAAGCATACCTGCGTCTCAGAAAAAAAACAAACCAGGATGTAACAAAGACACATAGCAAAATGTAAGCTCATATGGACAGATCTAACCTTCAAATACTCTGTACTGCCATAGCCTACTGGTACAGGCTCAGTACTGAGCTTTACGTTTTCCCATATTTTATTGGCACAGAAAATAATGCACTGTCAACAAATACTTTTTAAATAAATTCTTACTAGTTCTTAAAGGGATAGCATTTAAATTTTAATCCCACTTGTATTATAATGTTTTTGAGACCAGACAACACTCCAGTTCCTAATGGAGATCAGCAACAAACACATACTGCACCTTCTGTGAAGGGATCAAGCCTTTTCCCAGTGTTCCGCTCAATCAGCACAGTGTCTGGAGCATAAAGCACAACTAGGCACATAAAAAATTAAAAAAAAAAAAAAAAAAGAAGAAAAAAGTGCAGCTGTTGTTAGTCACTTGCTTTATTTCCTGTAACTGTTGAGATGTATCCTAGTATTAAAGATCAATTAATGTATTTCAAGCAAATTAGCCCCATTCGCCTTTCCCAGGATTCTACTTGCAAATACTTCACTTTAAATCAGAATTTTGCTCTACCTCCTAAACAGTACAGTGGGACAAAATATACATTAATCCAGCCCAGTACCCACCAATACTAGCTGTCCCCATCATCCATTCCAATTAACAAGGTTCTCCCTCACTTACGTGGTATATGGAGCCTAGGACGGAAGTATTCACAGATCACTTAAGGCTGATTCTCTTCTATACCACAATTACTTTTTACCCAGGCACTTTGGTAGTGAGACCAGTGAAACTTATTTTTATAATCTCATAGAAAAATGTTCAAACTTTATTAGAAAGCATTAAAAGAGGGAGAATCTGTCAGGTCCCTAGGTTGCTTCTGTCTAATCATCCTCACAGTTAAATATTGTAATTTAATTACTACTTTCAGTGCATTTGATTACAAGTTTCAAACAAGTTCTTCCTATGACTTTCTTCTCTGTATCAAATAGCTCTTTCAGATGCTTTCTCCCTATTAATGTACTCACACACCATAAATCTCATCTCCTCTCAATCTTCTTTTTGATTAACTAGACAGACTGAGCTTTAGGAGTCTGGTTCAGGTCTTAGTTGCACAGATATAATTGTGAGCAAAACTCAACTTCAGATGTTATTAGCTATATTAAAAATACATGCAAGTACCAGACATTAAACATTTTTGCCTAACTCTGTTGCAGTGATTCTGAACTCTTCATTAACAGTCGAATCTCATCCAAATCAAATCCAAAGTGACAATTCATCAAGTTCACTAACATTCTGTTCACTATCCATTGGTAAGTTCTGTATTTATCATCTTACAGTATATTCCGCACAATCATAATAATTTCTTACATCCTAAGTAGGTCCTCTAACTATATTAATTTGGGACAACTGGCTTTTTCTAGATGGCAAGGGCAGCTGTCAAGGTCTTGTATATCAGCGCTTTGCCAGCAAACTAATCTTCCTTTCAAATCAAGTCAGAATCCACCCATGCTCTGAAAGGTCAAGCTTAAAATCATTATGTTTCCACTTCATTTGGTGGAGTAAAGTTTGATAAGTTTGTATTCTCTAATTCAACAAAAGGATGAATTTCTATTTAGTTCTGTTTTGGTCTGAGGATAAAGGCTGATTTCTACGGGTGGAAGTCAGAGAAAGCTTAGACCCACTTCTAAAAGAGGAGAAAAGCTGCTTATAGCTGCTCAGAGACACGTGCTGGCGTGGTCTTGAATTTATAGAACTCTAACATGTAAGAAGAAAAGGGTTCATGTGTGAAAGGCAGGGTTTAAAGTCTCACAGATTACCTCAAGTTTTTTAGTGAATCTGAACCATACTGAAATATTTTATTGTCTGGTGATGTCAGTGTCTTCCATATTGGTATTGAATTTATTGGGGATTTTTGAGGAGAAACACTTCTATAGTCCTTCCTACTGGATGAAATCACACATAGCCCTTGTGCTGCTTACCAACATGCCTAGGAATGATGCCAGATGATTGCAGCATCCATGCCTGTTCCCGATTTTCAGGGAAGCCTTCCAAAATCCATCCCTATTGAACAAAAACATGAAACAGTTACTGATCCTGGAAGGGAAAAAACAAAAATTTGCACTATATCAGTGCTATTTGCACAAAATTTACCTCATTCTGATCCCACAACAGCACAGTATTTGTTATGGATGCTTGTGAGAGGAGAAAGCAAACATGGAGCACAGGTATTTTTGTGAAATGCCATGCACTGATACCACTGCCACAGAGCAACTGGAACTTATATATTGTAGCAATTATTTTATTTCTCATGTTTCAATTTTAAAAAACAACAACTTCTATCTTGAATTAAAACAACCCCAAACAATTTCTACAGTTTTGAAATATTCAAAAAGATACCAGCCCACACTGTGTATAAAAAAAGAAGCTAAACAAATCTAAGGACAGATTTAATGCCAAGAACACTGAGGAAAATATGCACGCTTTCATTATTTTCTTAAATTATACAAGAAAACTCACAGTAATGGAACCAGCATTCCCAAAGCTAATGAAGCAAGAGAGCAAAAGAAAGAAAAAAGAAAAAAGAGCCTTTTGCTCCCTTAAGTCCTTGTTATAGCCAGCTAAGTGTTGGATTGAGCATCTTTAAAAAAACATTTACAGATCTGTGAAATACCATAGGAGAGCTGCAGCCTCACTCAGCTTCTGTGTGATGCAGTATTTGAAATCTAATCCACTTCCCTGTCTCAAGAATGGATCTTCTAAACCCACTCTAATTTATCTGTTAGTTGCTTAACCACACATGCCCTTGTCACTATATCCTATAACTCAAAATAACTTTTTGACACTACACTATATCTGGAAAACATCTTTTGTACTGAAATAAAGAAGATATTCCAATAGTGCATTGGCTGGCAATTATTATCATCTCCCACATAAATTTGAAGCTCTGTCAAAGGTTCAGGGCAACATACCTCCATGACTTCTGTAGGAGGAAATTGGGACATTCAAATTATACAAGAAAATGGAGTAGACTATTTAAAATTCCTTAATTAGCCTGGTTTCAGGAACATGTCATCCTGCTGATACCTGTAGAAAATAAGAGACTCGAGTAGCTGCAGGCCATTTTTGCCACTCCCAGTGTTTGCTCTATCGAATTAGAATGAACTGCTGTCTAAGGTCACACAGGTGCTGAGAATCAATTTATCCCTTGGGACTTGCAAGAGGCAAGGCTGCACAATATTTTTCACGGTATGCTAGGAACTTCAGCACTACTTCTGAATATATTGTGTTTGTACAACACATGTATAGGCTCAGATCCTCTTCTAGGGAGAAATGGCATCAGAGGTCTGAAGCCAATAAATCTAATGCCAATTTACACAGACTGCAAATCTGTCTCATTTTCTCCACTCCAAGTGCAATACTTTTGGAAACTAAAATAAAGCAAACAAAAAAACCCCACCCTACAAAACCATTGCTTCTGATGTCACTGCAGCTTATTGCTCAAAATCACATACGGAGCAACAGCAGTAAACCCAGACTATTGTTTTTTCAACAATGCATAGCAAACTTCAAGAGGTTTATACACAAAATTCAAAGGTCCCTAAAACAGGCAATAAGCAATTTTATAGCTAAAAGTTTTTGCAATGTAAGAAGACATAGTTCAATAAATAGCTTCCTGCAAGAAATACGTTTTAAGGCATTAAACAAATGCAAAATAAACACACACTACAAAAATAGTTAGCATTTTGGATCTTATTTCCAAAGGTCTCTGAGTTCCAGGGTACCAGTCAGTCCCTAATTAGAATACATTATCCATCTACTTGACACTTCAGTGAAATGTCTATTCCACCACAGAGCTGCAGCTTTGTTCAGAACAGGTTTATTGATATTCTGCTGCATCCCCTCTCCATACCCCCAGTGGCTTGGTTCTGTTTTATCACACATCAAAAAGGCCGTATGCTCAGGGCACCCCGTGCACAGCTCAGAGCTGGAGGTCTGAACAGCTGCAAGTAGTATGGTATCACAGGAGGGACAAGCTCCAAGCAGATGTCACAGATTAAAAAAAAAAAAAAAAAAGTTTTTTTTTTTAAAAAAAAGACTAAAAAGGGAGTGTGGCTTGGGAATGAAGCAAGAGGAAGCAAGACACAGCAGAGCAAGACCTGACTTAAAATATGCCTATCATGCTTTATGCAAACACTGGTCTTTTTTGCCCTTCTGACTATCATTAAAGTGTAATTAGTAAGTTCACATGGTAAATTTGTTTCTTTAAGAAGCCATCTACTTTTTGTTCTTGATAGCAGTAACCTTACATCCAGGCATGGATTGCACCTTATCACATCAAGGGCAGAAAGAAGGCTAAAAGTGAGTAATTCCACAGTGCCTTTACTCTGTGGTCATTGTTCCCTCTCTTTCAGCTGGAAACCTCAATGCTTTCCCACATGAAGACTGCTTTAAACATGGCATTCTGCTGTTGCCTTCAAGCCAGGTGTAGTGCTCCTTGCTCCATGGCATGCTGAAAATAAGCAACAAAAAAGTGCTTTCAAAGCTATTACTTTCCTCTCCAGATTTAGAGGAATCGTGAGAAAAGGAAATGTTCAAGGTCATTCCCAAATATACATCTCATTCCTTTGCTGGCACACTGCTCTCAGCTATAATACCAAGCCTACATACTTTCACACTTTCCACCCCAATAATAATGACTTGGGTATTCAGTTCTCCCTTGTTATTTGACCTGCACAGTCTGTTTTGTTTTGTTTTTAATTACAGAATCCAAAATTTACACTGCTTTAGAATAACGAAAAGGGATTGCGCAAAGAAATAATACTGAATTACGTGGCACATCTGAAAGAAATCTCAGCCACAAGCATAAAGATCACAGGTCATGAATACTGCTGCCTTTAGGAAAATGGGTTATCACAGCAGTTTTTCCACATCATCATTCAGCATTGTTGAAAAAGTATTACACGCTTTTCACTCCCATCTGAAGAAAAGGGACAGTCAATAATGCAAAAAAAGAATATCAATAATAGCTTTGCCAGTATGAATCTCAATTTGCTGAAATTTTCAGAAAACAGCAGACTGAGGAGTGCAGTAGAAATATTGTCAACCCAACTGCAGTCCATCAACATCAGCAGCATGGATGATGAAAGAAGCTCCAACTTTACCAAGTTTCCCATTAGAAAGAATCCTTTTATTCCCCACATTATTTTTGGAGGTTGAGTAAGCTGCAAAGGTATAAAAAAAAAAAAAAAAAAAAAGCCACGTTCTTCTTGTAAAGCAAAAAAGATGGTGAATAGGCAGATTCTTTCCCCAGATAAATCTACATAACATCACTATCCTCGCACGGAGTTTCACAGAGACAACATGATGATCTTTATTTGCCAAGGTAAAACCAGAAAGAACCAACAGCCATTGCTTTCTTTTCCTTCCCTTTCAAGGACAGCCCTTCTGAACTGTTTAATAGCAATCAAAAGTAATTCTGCCACTACTCACGTGCATCCCTGGCCTAAGCTTTGCTTCTAAATGATCCTAAGACATGAGTAAGGTTGCTCAGCTCTCTCTCACAAATCCATCATGTAGCAATCTCTTCACTAGCCTTCCCCAGTTCTATAAATTCCCTCCACAACACCAGCAGTGAGAGGTGCCGTAGCCAACGTGTACTAACCCTGTAAGATGAAAAGTCTTCATAACAGCTTCACAAGTCCCAGGTTCTAACAGAATGCTTGCAATAAGTTTTCCATGTATGCTGGAAGACCTACCCATCTGATCCCTCGCAGTCCTAACTACATTTGTATTAGAAGAACACACAACACAGAGCCTCAGCAGAGCTGTTGATCAATAAAAATGTTCTCCTTAGAGAATGCCTGTGACATCTATAAACCTGTGAGTGTCAAAACAATGGCACAAAAAAATTCTGTATTCCTACTGCCAGTGGGATGAAAGCTGTACAATTAATGCCAAGGCAATGACACCACAAGGAGAAATAAAACAAACAGCTGGTGGTACTATGGTCCAACATACTGCTCCTAATCTATTAACATTCTCAGAAAAAAATGCTGACTCATGCTTTGACAGAAATGGCATAAATCTGTTCAATAAAGTACAAAATCCACAGTATTAATTCTATTTCTAATCACATAAGGAAAATATGGCAATTAAAATGCATAGATCCCCTTTCAAATGGAAAAGACATATACAGTGTGAGGAAGTTTTAATGACCATTAATTACTATCGACTAATGAAAAGATTTTTAATAAGCATCACAACTTTGAAAAGTCCATTATGTGTTTTTCCTAAAAATAGTTGAAACCTTAACTAAACCAACAACATCCACTCCATCCTTGCCGAATGTCAGGGAAGCTTTATAAAGGATTTTTTTTCCCCTAGTTCCATAACACATCCAGCACTGAATCAGTGTTGCTGGTGATAACAATAGGAACATAAAATGCAGGCAGGACATTATGCAGCTGTTGTTATTTTAACCATCTTGTCACCTTAGAGTTTACATGACCTAATACTTTAACTAAGGGTTACTGAGAGATCCTTCCCTCGCTATTAGAAGGAGAACTAGAACGATGCCAACAATTATAGCAAGCATGAGGCAAACAAAGCATAGCGTGGATAAAGCCTTCAGAGAGCAATGGATTTTGCTTACACACAGATTGTTAGTAAAACTCACTTTATCACAACAAACACTGGAAAAATTAGCTGTTGAAAACATACCTTCTTTTAATCAGGCACAGAGACTTACGTGAAAAACTAAGCATGTTGGAGGGGTTTTAGAACTACTGTTATAAAAGCTCTAAACCAAAGTTATTCACCTATTTGCTAATTTACAGCAATCACTGCCATCCAACAGCTCTCCTCCAGCTAGCATTAGAGAACAGATTGCCCCAGCAGCTACTAGCTTGGAGAGATCATGTGAGAAAATATTAAGCCAAAACTACTGCAAATACCAAGGGTATCCTGGTATCTTCCCTATCCTACCTGCTAACTACCAGTAGCACAACTAGAGAAGCTGTTAGTGTTAAGCTAAGGGGGGACTGTGTTTGGCGACTGAAACCAGCCTAGAAGTTAACAGTCAGAAGAACAGTTTCTCTCTTGAGTTTATCATCTTTCTAACTTACTTTCATTTCTATAGGTTTAGAGATATTTTAGACACACTCACTAAAGGAGAAGTTTCACTTGAGATAGATGTTCCACATACTGCCACAAAGACAAGGTAATAAATCATACAATCACCTGACTTGCTGTATATCCATGATATCTCATTGCAGTGCTTACATAAAAAATGTTGACATTCATAGTCTTGTTTTGCTGCTTATTTGCTAATATATCCAGAGCTGACAATACTGGTTTCTCCAGTGTTCCTCAGCTACACTCTTTAATTCAAAATGCCACAAAAATGAACAAGATGGTACACCACATGCGTGTTTTTAAACAGGTTCTGCAAATTGAAAGGCCTAAGCCCTGTGTGAATTTAGTACAGATAAACAAATATATTAAATATTACCAGATATTTGATCTGGAGTGATAAATAATAAATAAATAAAGTAGCTCAGCTAAAAAGACCTCCAAGAGAAACTAAACAGATCCACATGATTCGAGCACAGTGACTCGCAATGCAAAAGTTTAATTCTACTTTGCAAATTCAAAATTAGTAGAGTAGTTGTGGAGTAAGGTCTACAGTATTTCATAGAGCAAAATGGATAACCCTTAGGTTTTCTGCCAATCTCTTTACTCCTTTCTTTCTAAGGATTCAAAAATCATTGTTTCAATCTCCCAGATGATGAAGTATGGACAGGAAATGTGGGATCCTAAAACACAAAAAAATGGTCCATTTGGAAAAGAAGAGGAGGGGGTCACGTCCTTATACATAATGTACTAGAAAATTCTTCCACAGACTTCCCAGGCCTCAATCGTACCAGTGTAGTAAGGGAATTCAAAGAGAAAGAGCAGCAAGGTTTAGGAAGAAAAAGGAGCTTGAAGTAGCAGCAAGTGTCCATTTTGCCCAAAACCTGTGTCTTACCTGCATGGTAAAGTAGATTTTATTAGTTCAAGGTAAGTGGAAAGAAGGCAGGAGTGGGCATCAGAAAAATCCAAACTTCATAGTTTAGAGCTGCCAGTACATTTTAAAATCCCAACATCTTGGTAGTTCCCCATGAAAGCAAATACTAGTGTAGTTTAAAAGTGCAGGGTTCAACTCAACTATGTTACTCCAAAGTTACAGGAATTCAACCCCATGAATATCAATGGGATTTATACCTGGTAGAAATCTAGAATAATTTAGAGATGAGCTAGGTTTCCTTTTCATGAATTTCCCTTCGTAAAAACAATTGCTCACATTTATTTGAGGGAGGACAAGTCCTATAACCATAATTTGTAAATATTATGAGAGCCAATAATGCATCCCAGATTTGTTACAGAAAAGTCTCTTGTTAAAGATTTAGCTAAAAATGCAATTAAATGCTCAAAAATCACCCACTCATTAACTTGTTTTTACTCCTTCAGAGCTTTCTGTACTGACAGAAAAGGAAGGACTTTTATAGCAAGATACTTTCCAATGCAAATAAGTGTATTGTCATGCAAATAAGGGCACTGTCATGCACTCTTTTACGACCTGGCAAAAGAACGAGATTAGCTGGGCAAGGAAAGGTTTGTATTAGCTTAATGAGTTTTCTCAGTAACATTAAACATCAGCAGGTAGTATTCTAAATTAAATTCTCATGCAACCAGTGGATTAGATAATGGGATAGGTTGAAGTTTAGCTACTGCTAGTTCTAAGAGACTGCTTAAAGAGACCAGCATACTACGTATTTTGCTACAGCTATATGCTCACAACAGAAATATGACACAGCCAGATGTCCTCCAGCAAACCTCTCAGGCAGGAACAATTTAAGAAATTACATCTCCAGCTATTCATTACCGTCCTGATCAAGTTATCCTTTCCACAGTTCATACACTGCAATCGACCATCTGATCTAGCTTACACAAGGCAGGTCCATTGAAAGCCACTTCCATCAGTGGTTTAAGCTAAGATAGTTGACTTTGCACTGAAGCACACAAAGACTTCCTTGGTAATCATTCATATTATCCGAGTTCTACAAGCTGAAACCTTCAATCAGGGGCAGAAAATTTTTTCAAGTCTTCTTGCTACTTTTGCTGATATTTCTCTGCAGCTATAGACACACCTCTGTGCTACAGAATGACCATCTTAAAAACTACCAGGCAACGGCCCAGCCCTCAAGATGATTTTGTTTTACAGAGATGGAAGAATCCAGTCTGCAGATCACTGCAAACTACAGCAAACATCACAGAGACCAAGAAAGAAGTAAATGACAAAGTTTTCAGCATTTCTGGTTTCTTTCAGACCCTAATGCTAAGAAGCTTTAGGAAGCACTTTTCATATATCAATGAAATGTTAATTACCAGCCCTGCTTTTTTCAACCAACAAGGTAGATAGATGATGAAGTGGAGAAGCAACAGATTTCAATAAAACCATGAGCCTTGCAATATCTCTACGAGGTCAGGCAGTACTAGTTAGCCCCTGACCCAAAGGTGTGGGTGTGACAGAGTGACTGTTCTGAAAAAAAGCTGTTTAGTCCTTCACAAACGTAATACCTACTTGGACTGGACTTTTTTCCTCTCAAGAAGTGCATCAAATAATGTGCACTCCATATTTTGGCACTGTTTAGAAACAAGAGTTTTATCCATTAAATTAGTACGTCTCTTACAAACAGTCCCTTATAATGGGCTGATTATGGACTCAATAAGCTATAACAACATCTGAGATTTTAATGGAAACACATAAAAGAGATTTTGCTTTCCTTGAGTCCAGAAATTAATTTCAATCAATATTAAACTACTTAAGTTCTCTTTTGGTTCTATGTTAATAGTCTCTACTTACATTAAGGCTAAGCACACAAGCTGGCAGGGGAAGCCACACATCTGTGAGCACAGCTAAACCTATTCAGTTGCCTATTTATGTAAACTAACAGTGAACATATTAATTATTACCTAGAAGATAATATATTCAAATGCAGTTGTTCAGAAAACAGGAAGAAAAAAGACACTATGAGAATTAAAGAAAATTTATTAGACTCTATTTCCCCCTTTCCTCAATAAGAGTTAAAATCTTAACTCAAAATATTGATTTTTATATGTTTTCTGTTTATCTGTTTTGTCCACTATATATCTATAACTCTGCCAGTTGCCCCAGGCAATCAACAAAGCTATGCTTGTTCAGCCTTTGATCATCTCTGTGCTAGAAGATTAGCATATGCATACTCTCATCCTCCCCTTTATCCTGTTAATAAAGCTCCAAACTCCCTCTGCTGATGTTCAAGAAAGCAATCCGCTCCAGAGCCCCCAATGATTTGCCCCCATTCCCTCCTCTGCTCAGGACTCAGAATGCTAACTACTATGCACGAGTTGTGTAAGTGCTTATCCACCGGCCCTCTGAGGAGCAATTCTTACTTGTTTGATGCAGTCCACGTTTGACAGACGTTCCTGGATCAGATTGGCCCAAAGCGCGTTGGGAATTTTCTAAAGAAAGAACAAAAAAAGGCTGAATATTCACAATTGAGTTCAAAAGGAATTTCATCATTCAGGCATATTCCGGTTAAAGGTGAACTGAGATGTCTTCTTAAAAATAAATAAATCAATCTCTGCAAGTCCCAAGTCATTAACATAATATCAGAGAGTTAATAAGGGCACAAAAATCAGCGTTAAAGGTAAGCTGAACACAAAGCCTCCATCTATGCTTTTTGCACACTAACGTGGAAGCGGTGAGAAGCTTTTCACACTAACACACACATTAGACATCAAACCTGCAAAGGGAGCCACAAAAACATCACATCCACAAGTGGTCCTTTTTACCACAAGTACCTGACCCACTATTGCTTCATATGTCAGTGGACTCGGCCTTAGTGATCTTAACAGCAATCCTGTGAGACAAGCAAAATCTCAAACACAGAGCAAATAACACAGAGGGTCCAATTTTCAGGAGGTTTGTTTCATAGTTTCAAGTAACTCTCACTCTTGTATCATCCAGAAAGTTTATTTAAAGTACATTTTAATCCTAAAGTTAGTTTATTTTTAAACTCAGGACCATGAAAAGGGATTGACACTGATTTTAAAAATGCCATTTCTTTCTGTGACTGCTACTTTGCCCACATGTAGAGATGTTTTGTAAAGCAGTATTTGCTATCTGACAGAAGAACAAAGTTCCTCTACAGATTTAGTGGGGTTTTATCCCCCATAATATTTCTGACATTATTATATTAGATTTCCTGACAAGAAATGAACAACACTCTTCTTTCCTTCTTGTAAGAATTTTCTGCGCTATCTTGTTAATTTAGGCCTTCATTCTATGCTGAACTTGGTTGAACAAACTCTATGTTAGGCAGTTAAACTTGATAAAGTCTAAACCTTCAGCTATGCCAGTCAGAGCAGCTGTTAATCATTTCACTAAATGCCTCCTTCCAGCCTTATTAATTTTGTCATTATTGGTAAAATGAATACTTGGAAAAAATTCCACAGTCAGATTCTCTACTTCCCAAGTCAAAAAATTATCTGTGACCTAATGATGTGAGCTTGACTCTTTGTTCCACACAGATCCACATATTGTGGGTTCTCATCTCTTTTTCTAACCAAACAGTGTGAAGGGCATAATCCTAAAAAAAAGAGTATTTCCGAAGGCTTATGTTATACTAAAGAACATAGACATATATAATGAAAATGTGACAATATGGAAAGATTTCATAACAATCTTCTGGTGAAATTGTTTCATGATCTAATGAAGGAGTGGTGGAAACGCTACCACACAAGTCACTTTAAAGTAGAGTAGAGGAAGCACACAGAAGAGACCAGTTCTCATCTGGCTGTGGAATGGACAAGGTGGTTCCGTCGGGCAGTGGGTTTTCTTGTCTTGTTTATCTCTACTGTCTCCAGCTGTCAGTGCCTTTCCTAATATCAGCCATTCATAAGGCAACATTCAAGCAGGTAAAAGAGAAAAAGGGAAAGAAATTGCTGTGTTTCTTGAAAGTCAGCAGGTCCCATAGGGTGGTGCGTCAAAGCCTCCTGCAGCCTCTCCCTGCTGGAGCCTGGGTCTGTGGCTTTGAGTCTGTCACCTTCCAAAGGTGCATCATGCTGCTATCAGAAACAGCCAGCGTCTTGCTTGCTTCTTTGATGTGTCATGTCAAGACAGGCTAGCAACGGCCAGGGGTCCACTCTGCTAAGCCTTGCCAAACCAATTTAAACCAAAATAGCACTAACTTCTTCCAGTGCAGTGGTGTTCTTAGTCCTCTCTTTTAAGCGGGTTTTATTGCACAAAAACAATCAAGGGCACATGTGCAGGTATTTCAGTGTTTTAGTTCCTTCTGCTCTCTATGGCTCAATTCCAGTCTCATTTCCTGGTCAGTTTTCCTCCTACTGAGCAGTGGCCTACAAAATAATTTTCAATAGGTTGCCAGTAGAATGCCTAACTATTCAACTAGAAATCAGTAAATTCAATACATATCAGATGGCACTTTTATAATTTCTCTCTCATAAACACTCACATAAATACACCATGAGCCTAGTAGGTGGGACTTCACCTCCCAGCAATTTGCAATAATGGACAATGAACACATACATTTGATAACTGCAGAACTGTATCTTCCCTAAGGCACTCTGAGCCTGTCCCAACATCCAGTTTAGTTAATGGAAAGATCTGCTCTTGAATTGTTAAACCTTCCAAAAGCCATAGTATTCTATGTTCGGACCACTTAGCTATACATGCTGGTTTAATCATGATTTCCATACCGCTGAAAAACTGTACTCATTCCTGATTAATTTTGAGCATTCCATGTTATTTCAGGGATATCATACTCCATCTTACATGCCTGATCTACTCAGAGTTATGTTTTTGCAATCTTTTCATAAAACTGCTACACTTTCTGTTGCCAAGGCAGGGGGAGCACTTTCCCTAGACATTTCCATTGGAATTTTTGGATATATTTATCCTGAAAACAGCTACAACTAAAAACTTCTGACTTACTTTGCACATCAGAGAGAAAAAAAACAATCAAGTTTGAAGAAATTTGGTTTAGTATTTTGAAAATCATGAATGTTTAGATTTAGCTTGCTCAGAGAAATACACATGAAAGGCTGGGGTTTTTTTATGGATACACAAGACTGGAACAGTTCCTACTCATTCCTTCATAATGTTTTTTCCTGAAATAGATTAGAATGCTGAACATGCCTTTGGTATTCCTCTCTTCTATTATATTTCTTCTTAAAAAGCACAGGGATATGATGCAACTGTGGAGTATTTTAAGTCATTACGTAGTATGCAAACACCTTAACTGCTATTTAGTACAGCATTAAGAGCACACCCATCCCATAAGCCCACAATTACCACAGGTGTTTCAACTTCTTATTTTATCCAGTTAACAGGAAAAGTGAAACATGCAATAGCTCATCATTAGATTTGAAGCACCTGAAGGTGCTTCCTATTAACATTATAATAACTAGAGATAAGGGAATAATTTGCAATGATTTATCCAAAAATGTAGCCCCTTTTTCTGTTCATGGAATATTTATTGATAGCTCATGGTTCTTCAAATTTACTGAATATTCAAAAATATTTTACTTCTTTTTGGAATATTTTTACATGCAGAATGATCACATTTTGCTTTGAACAGTCAATATTTAAAATTCACTACCTGAGCTGTGCTCATTAGTAAGTGGCCAGGTGTGTGTTAGTGAATGATTACATGTCCAACTTTAAAAATTGAGCATCAGAGAATAATCACGTATTTTAAATACGCCTTCCATGAATTCCTGTGCCAGGAAAACGCAAATGCTTTAATGTTCACTGGAAATGAACACAAAAAGAGATGAAAGCTTGGCTAAAGATAAGTAAGTAAAATATGGAAACAAACACTTGTGGACCTTTTTGCTGTGTTTCTTCAGATCTAATAACATTGGCCTAGTGACCTAAAAACTAATGACCTTTGGCACTGGGGTTAATTTAGCCACAGTAACATTATGCGCTTGAAATATTCCTCTAACAACATTAAATTGTGTTATATGGTCTTCACACCAGACTTTCAAAAACACAGTCCTACTTCCTGCTTTCCCTCTTTCCATTTATTAAATTGCTTTGGCCAGGACTGCAACTTCTTAATGCCCTCGTTGTATCAAAGACAGTATAAACAGCTATTGTTCTGTTCCTGAATAGACATCCAAACCCTATTAGTGCTAATGGATGTTATGTATGCTGCAGGAGTCAAGTTTACCACTCGCTTCAGCAGAACCAGGGGTCAGTTACAGCAAAAGTAGATTTAGCCAGCAGACATGAATCAGTAAGAGGAAAAACAGCTCTCGAGATGACAGTTTGTCTACATTTTAAGTCATTGTAAAGCTTGCATTGATTTAGAGGAAGCAAGGAGCTCCCTCCTAGTTTAAGGAGTTACATTTGAAGAATCAAACTCATACAAAAGAACAAAAGAAATTATTTAGTGAAAATGTCTTTCCTAGGACCTAACATCTCAAAAACAAAGGCAAACCACACAGTACTAAACCACCACCAGATCCTGCTCTTTGGGCACTTCTTATACCTGATTAGCCTTGACATTTTTGACTTTCATCTTCCACACTATCCATCTTTTTAAATCAAGTAAGCCCAAAAGGACACCCTTGAAAGTGAATCTGTATAGTCTGAAATATGTTAATAATTACAGTAATTAAACCAAAGGGAATTTTTGTTTTAAATTCTCCCCCTCTAAGTTGAAATTTATGAATCTAGCAAAACAATCTTTAATAATTAGAATGAAGATTTCAAAGTACATATACTTGATAAGAATAATTTTATATCATCCCAGCCAAAAGCAAACCTTTATGCCAGTAAGTTCAGCGAGTTCAATGAACTCTTTCCTCTCAGATCTTTAAGTATATCACACAAGGCACCTCCAAACTTCATTCATTAATTCAGTGTAATAAACTGAAAAACACTATTTTCAGACTAATTTTCTAAGGAAAAAAAATTAATCTCTGTATCATACCATCTACCATCTCAGCAAATTATGAATCTGTTGGCCAATATCAATCAAATTCAGTAGTGGTGTAGAATTCTCACAGATAAGAAATTGCTTCAATTTTTATGAGAACAGGAGATGAGGGAGAAGAAAGAAACTCTGACTACTGGACTTGCTAGAGTCACAGAAACCCAGACTTCTTCCATTCTGTTACTCATGGAACACCTTGATGTGCAGAGAAAGGAATCAGCTAAAAAGGTAGGACTCAGCAGCAGAGGTGCTTCTGTGCATTCAGAATATTCTTTCAACATCTTTTTCTGATCTACCTGTCACTAGCCTTTAATAACAAAACAATTACATTGCTGATTAATGAATCCCATGAGTCATGACATCTGGAAAAAATGTTCTTTGGACCAACTTCTTTGAACATGAGTTAGGAGGCCCACAATGAAGCATGAATGGATTTAAAAACCTGTATGGAGTAAACCGGGTACTCGGAGTTGGGTAGAGCACATCAGCCCAAGAACTTAATCTCCTGAGTTGGCTGCTATAGCCTCAGAAAAGCCTCCAGGGTTTTCAGTAACTGACTGGATTGTCATACTCCTTTTGAGTTAACATACCAAGTTATCTGTGTCATGCTAGGCAGAAATCAAGCGTGCACAACTAAGTAGCAACGTCAGATCAAAATAAGTTCTTTGTGTACATATTTTCCAGAGCATTTTGTACCGAAGGAGACCTCGGAGATCAACACTTATTTTATTGGGTTTATCAAACATGCTGAAATAGAAGACACTCTGTTTAATGATATAATGAACAATTATTTAAATTGTATTGTGCATACCTGGACTTCTCTCAATTCTGTTGCTCATGTCTAAGGTTAATGTTTCCAAGACCTCCATTACTTTACACTGTCTTTCTCACCTGCTCCTATTCTATACGCTGACACATTTTTATCTCTGTTCATATCTTCTTATCTAGCAGACATTCCCCTTCTTCTCTGAAAGGCCCTGTGCCTACATATACACAAACTAATGTACAAATCACGATAGATATTGGAATATTTATTCTGATCTGCTCAACTCATAGCAGTGGAAGTCATGGGAATGTCATATAATTCTCTTCTGTGGCATGAAAACTACTACTATTATATCCTCTTACACACCTGTTTTCTTTCTTTATATGCCTTTGCTTCCTTTGTCAGCGCTAATATTTCCTTGAATAACAAAGTCTCCTGAGAGATACGTATGGCATCCAAATGTTTACAAAGCCACATTGCCTGAGGGAAGAAGAAAAAAAAAACCAAAACAAACAGGTCAAAGTATTTGGAAAGAAAATGAAGCATTTTTTCAGAAGGCTGCAGAAAGACAGAGAGTGTTTTCCCAGCCTTCTCTAAGTACACAGACTATATGCGTACCTTTAAGCAGTTTCTTATAAAGATGTTCAAGAGTCTACAGCTTTGAATAAGGTCTTTTTCATCTACTATACTATAACACAGATTTTAGAGAAGAAAGCATTCTTCCTAGCATGCACACACCACCATCATCTGCTGTTCCTGCGGTCAGCTTTCTCTGTGGTTCAAATACAACTCTGACACTTTCAATGAAGCGGTACCAGTGGACGTGACAGACAACTGGCCAGGCAAATGGAGCAACCCACAATATGGCAATACCATAAACGTGTAACTACAGTACTCCTCCCAGGTTAATTAGTACTGCTAAAAGGCTGTGGAAAAAAAAAAGGCAGGGAGAATTCTGTTGCATTATAGCAGTATCACTACCACTACCTAAGCAAGTTCTTGCAGAGCTCACTTGAACATTTTCATTTAACCTGTGGTGTAATAGGTAGGCATATTCCTTAGGAATGCCCTCCTTCAACTCGTCTTGTGCTCTTCCACCACTTCGACAATTCTGAAAATTATCTTCTCAGAATAAAGTTTTCACAAATGCTGAGCTCAGTGGAAAGCAAAAAGGTAACTGGACAGTATTATAACATTGAAGATTAATAAACTTACAACTGTAGTTTTCCCAGAAGCAGGTGGCCCAAGTACACAAATTCTTGGAGCTATGAAACAAGAATATATGAATGTCAAGATGCAGAACAGCAAAAATCCCAATCAGTTTCCCCACTATATAAATGTCATCACAAAGAAACAATTATTTCAGTTGGAAATCTGCCTGAATGGAGACTTCAGGATTGGGTTCCACTAGGGGAAAAAATGGGGAAACACCAAGCCAGTGACAGCTGGGTCTTCCTTTAATCTCTATAGTCAATGAGATTAATACTCTGACTAAACATCCCACTCAGAGAGATATAGAAGAGAGAGGGAGTGAGAGAGAGATTTCTCAATCCATTTAAACACATGGATAGTTTAGTGGGTGAACCAGAGCATATTAACATTTCCTTATCAGAGTTTGACTTTTATTCCCAAAACATTGATTGAGACCTAACACCTTTTGTGAAGAAAGAGTATTTTAGATTGTACATGCAGGACAAGCATTTAAAAGTGACTATTATCATAATCATAGAATGGCTGAGATTGGACAGGACTTCTTGATATCATCTCTCCTCTCATTTCCCTTACACAGTACGGTAGTAAAAATACTTTTTACTTTGGCAAAGCTTCTGGCTCTCATCACAAAAAAAAAATATGCAATTTCACTCTTTAGTTTCATCTAAATAGGTTGTGTCAGGGTTCAGAGAAGATTTAGATACTGCAAAATTAAGCACTATCTCTCTACCGTTTTTGACAGCTATCTTCAACTTTTCTAGTCATCTTTACAAGTAATTTTATTCATCTCTATCTTCTGTTTCTCTACTGCATGTCCCTCTCCTTTCCCTGAGGGGGCAAAGTGGGAAAAATGCATCCCAGTTCTGAGGAATTCTTCATCTAATACATATAGACAACACAATAGGCATTACCATTGTCAGCTTAATTGGGAATGAATTAGAGGCAAGACAACCAAGGGAAAGTGGAGTAACTCTTAGGAAAGGAAAGTATTTGGGACGTTTTCCATGAACGGACCTTGGGCTGCTGTCATTTTATATTAACATCTTTGACTTTTCCCTCTGCTATAGCTCAGGGAAAAAACAAACAAACAAACAAAAAGCAAACCAAAACAGACTATATACAGAAGGGACTGATGCGTATTTACTAGGAGTAACACAGGTCAAAACAGAGGAGGGATCTACTGATCCCAAAACCTCTTCAGCTCTTGATAAGCAAGGGAGATACAGTGTCTGATGGCAGCAGACAGGGAAGGATGTGAAATGTATTTTTATGAGGCCTTCCATCACTTAACAGTTATTGGGCAGGTGCAATTTTTAAATGTACATGAAATCCAAATTACAGATTCATCTTTACAAAGTTATCTGACTTGGAAGGTTTAAGAAAAACTCCCCCCTTATTGGTTCTTCCAAGTGCAACAGAACTAGTACACAATGTAGAAAAATACTTTAAAAGGATACATCAGCTGTTTTTATCACCTAATTTCTTTCAAATGTAATGTGATTAAATCCTAGGGTTGTTTTTTTTTTTAATCTAACACCTTGAAACTCCAGCCCGGTACTTAGGAATTATTTATAAACAGCGTCATAAAAGAGTGCTCGGGTGCCAACACTAATCAACTTCTTCAAACCACTTCAAAGAAAATCAAAAAACCTTTCCATCCACAGATCCTTTTGAGGTTTAACTAGGAGCATGATTTAAAATTCACAAGAAAACCCTTAGGTATTGAAGCTTTAATACACAGCTTTCTTGGACAAACGTTTGATAAAAAACGAAACATACCATTATATACACCATATCATGCTTTAATATTGCCCAGGGCTACTGTAAATGCTCACTTTGTACTAAATCTGGTTTTCTCTCTGCTTAGTGTCTGGCAGCAGATGGGGCAGTGTAATTCACTGATTTACTCATTTGCACACTTGCAAGACTTCTCTCAAGGATTCTCCCTAAACATATGACACAAGGGCACAACCAGGGCACCACTGTATGTAATGTTTAACCCCCTCCCATCAGCAAATAGTCAGTATTTAATACTGGAGGTCTGAACCAGCAGCTAAATTAAGGCAGCATATCTAGAAAATGCATTTTTCTTCAGTAACAAATCATATTTCATTCCATCTTTAGTCTTGATGAGATGCCACAGGATTTATTCTTCCAAGTAAAGTAAGTTTTAACATTCAACAATGATTTTATTAACAACAAAATTAATTCTGGAATAACGCAAAAGAACAGCTGGACTCTGAGTTCCATTTAAGTCCAAAAGATTCTATGATTAATACTAAAGCAAAAAAAATTGCTAACTTGTCAGATAAATCCTTTGTCAAACAGGAAAAGCACATAGTACACGATGAATGTTCTCACAGAACTTTTTTACATTTCTTCAGAGGTTTCACTGTAAAGGAAGAACTCACAGAAATGCCACTTGGATCCTGAAAGCTTTTTTCTATTAGCACAAACCAAGATGTAACATAGAAAACTAGCATCTTTGTATAGGAAAGAATTACCAGTCTTCATATGGTTCTTTCAGGTTTTTAGAAGGAGCACATGAAAGAACAATAGTACAGAGCCTTAAGCACAAACACTTAGCCACACATTTGACCTACCGGATTTTCAAGATAGTTCTAAGTTATAATCTTCATTAGACTTGTTTATATTTTTAAGAGTACTTTAGATCCTATTATTAATTTAAAAGCCTTTCTAACTTCACACCTAGGATAGATGCAATGCTTCTTTTCCACACATCTCTGTTTGAAATTTTCTCTAGGGCTAAAACTGTCTAGCAAGGCAAGATCATGAAAATTCATCACTTTACTGATGGCTCTAATAAGGTTTTTGTTTTCTTCTAAATAGTCAGCACCTTCCACCATGATCAAAAAGTAAAATCAACTCTGCTACAGATTTCTGTTACATTATTTTCCATATAATTTATTCTTAAAACATTTAGGCTTTAATTTTAATTGGAGTTCCTTCCCTTTCCTAATAGGTTTTTCCAGACCAAAAGCAGACAGCATTTTTCCTTTGACAAACAAACTGCTGTAGTTCTATCTTTAGCCTCTAAGTACTGAAGTCATGAAATGGAAACCTGCCTAATTCTGTTCAAATAATACGGTGAGGCTCAAGGACAAATGTTAGCTCAATGTGAAGAAATTTTATCAGCATTCTATCAAACCACCTGAAATTCTTCTGCGTATTTTCCATGGGTCTATAAAGCAGATTGATTACTCATGCTGCCCACATCAGAAAAGGCTGGACACAATTTGTAGATTTATTTTATTTTTTTAATATTTAGCAGCATTTCAATCAACATCCATCTGATCACCACCACGAAGAGCTCACAGCACCTCTAGTGATAATGATTTCATTGACGCTGCAGCAGAACTTTCATAATGGTTTACTATGGTTTTAAAGAAACATCAAAGCAACATGACACCAGCTATCCCTGACAGCTCACGCAGAACAAAAATTATAGTTCAGCTGTGCATAGCCAAATATAATCTGCCTACGGGTGAACAGTTTGTAAATCAAATAATTTGATTGAGTGTACATGCTTTTATTGTGCAGAATAGAGACTTCCTATTCAATTTACCAGGTTTTGTTATACATACAAGTAGGCATGCTCACTGTTCCTTCATCTGAGATGCCACTGAGCAGTGGAACTCATTAACAGCAGCTAGTAACTAACTAATCAAAAACCAGAGAATCTGCCAGCCCAGGTAGAATAGGAAACCAAATTTACACCTGACAAAAGGAGTAATTAGTGAGCTTAAAGACAACAGGAAACATCAGATGGGGCACAGAACGCATTAATAATTGATACACTAGAACTCTTTGTTATTCCCTTAGAGGGTTTCATTGTTATAACTGTTAAAGTGCATTTTTTATTAGATTACCCGCTAAAAAAGAAATTAAAAGCAACTTACCTATAACTATTCCAAAATGCTCACCTTCCTCTTCCCCTCCGCCCCCCCCCAAGACACAGTCTGAAAAGTTTTATCCATCATTTGCCAACTGAGGCACAGCTGTTTACAAATGAGGAATTGAACTATTTATGCTGTCTCAATTTTCACTTACCATCATCATTGTTTTGCTTTAAATGGTTTATCATATACTGAATGGGATCATCTGGCTTATGAATTAATAGTTCTTCAAGCATGTTCTGAAAATAAATAGGACAAAGAGGAAAATTGAACACAGCTATGCAGTCATGATAGATTGCATTTTTACAGCAATGTTACAATGAGGATCTTAAGGAGTTATGCTTATTTATTTTTTTAAGGCCCCTTTCACAGACAAAATTGAGACTATGAAACCTATTTTAGAGGCTGAAAAACTGAAGTAAAGCATAGTCGGAAATTTGACAATTAAAAAAAAAATAACCTATTTGCTTTAGCTTATTTATGATACAGACACCAGAAAGGTTTGTCTTGAGGAGTCTGATGCAGATAATGGTTGAGTCAACATCGACATCAAAACCATACAAGGAGTTTTGATAACCAGAGTCAACTTAAATTAGTGTCTCTGCACGGCAAGTTAAACCTACTTCTCAACCACAGTCCCACCAGATTCCAACTAGCCTAGGGGACCACAGAACAGCCAAGACATGCAGAAAACACAAACCCCACAACCAATCAAAGCCACAACAGCAGCACATCTCACTTTTGTAACCATACCAGTCTTCCTCCTACATTAAAAGGGGGTGGGAAGGAAAAAAGGGTTTAAAGCATTTCCCTGAATGTCTTATTTTGGAGCCTATTTTCATATTAAATGTTTGAGGTTATACAGGGCCTTGCTTCAGCTCCTACTGATAGGAGTGGGGATCTTCTGCTGATTTCAGTGGGGATTGTTGCTTTACAGGCAGAGAAAGGAGAAACACTGAGAAACAAACACTGAGAAACAAACACTGAGAAACAAACACTGAGAAACAAACACTGAGAAACACTAACTCCACAGATTTTCTTACAAGACGTCTCAGCACAGCTAAGAATCCTGTAATTAAAACTAAACATCAAGCAGCAACTAATGTTCTGACTTAGATTACATACCGAAATGCTTACACTGGAATAGGACATCTCATTCTAAAAATCAGCCATAACACTTTAACATTTGCAAGTAAATGTCATAAAGTCTGTATATTCCATAAAGTTTTATATTCTAACCAATTGATTGTCTTTTATTGGAGTGGCCTATTTTCTTTTTCTACTTACTCCACTTCATTAGAATAATTAAAACACTCAATTTGGTTTATAAAATGTTTCACATGCAAGTTCGGAAGCTTCAAGGTCTGGGCAGCACATAGCATAAAATTTGTATTTTTATAGCAAGTTCATTTAAAAATTATTACTTCCCAGCAACATTTATTTAAACCAAGAAATATGAATTTGGCACAACAATTATCAGCAGCTTTAAAAATAACAAACCTAGAAAATCTGGTCTTATTATGATTCAAAATTGATCAGGCTGACAACGACCGATTCTTTTGCTATTTCATGTCCAAGTCCTACCAGCACTTACATTCATGCTTCATTTTATCCAGTTTAACATTACAAGAGCAATTCTGTTAATCTCTGGGGGAGGTTCATGGTTTAATTTTCATGTTTTAGTTTCCACATTTGGGGCTTTGTAAATATTTAAGTTTAGGACAATAATTTCACACTGTGGGTGTTTTTGTACCGTTTTGTTGCTACAACACAATTGAAATAAGAAAAGAAAACAACACTGAGTAAAGCCCATAAACTTTGTACGTAACATGAGGACCTGCAGCTGCATTCAATGCCTCCTAGCATGAAAAATACAGTATTTCCATAAAAGCATGAAAAATACAGTATTTCCACAAATATTATGCCACATTGGTCATACTAAATGGCCTTGAAGTTACATGAAAAGATGATAAAAATGCAAGGAAAAAAAAAATAAGCATTTGGGTGTTTTCCAGTGAGATTTGAAAAAGTAAAAGGGCCTTATAACATACAAGCCCAAGGTATGAGAAGAGTTTGCAGAGGTACACATGGGGAGTCTCTCCAACAAGTTCTCCTAACAGACCAGCACCAGAATATCTTCTCTCTCACACAAACCTCCCCATCCTCGACAAAAGGGCTTTTTCCAAACTTACAGAACACAACATACCTTTCTGTAAGGCAGGGAAACCAATCTTGCTATTTACTGAAATCACAACGATGTTACAAGTGTACTTCTTTTTATTTTTGTCACACACCTCCGCAGAAAAGCCACGACAGCAGCAGGAACGCACCGAGAAACACTTTTAAAGGGAAAACGCTGCTAAAGGGGCTGCAGCGTGTTATTTCAGCAGCCCCTGGCTCGGGAAGGGCCAAATCTTCATCTCCATCATCCCCGCTGCATTTGTTACTGCTGCCTCTGCCTCCTCCTCCTCCTCCTCCTCCCTTCTCTCCTCCTCCTCCTCCCTTCACAATGAATGTAACTCGTCAGTCCTTTCTGCTGCCACTTTCTTCCGCAAAAAATTAACAGGTGTGAACCCCAGCAAACGCCAGGCTATTAGTAAAATAAGTTAATTAACTAAGAGAGCCCCCGACCGGGCGCACCTCCCCTCAGACGGGACCCCCGCCCGCGCGTTTCCACAGGCGCCCGGTGGCGGCCGCGGGGGTACAAGGGCCGGGCCGGTCTCGGGTCTCCCCC